ACCAGAACTAAACCAAGACTAAACCAGGACTGGATCAGTACTGAACCAGAACTAAACCAGGACTAAACCAGGTCTAAACCAGGTCTAAACCAGGACTAAACCAGGACATTACCACGTAGAGAAACAGTCGACGAAGTTACACAACGTACGTTTAAAGTCAAATATCGATATCGGTGTCAGAACTGAAAACTGTGGATCGGTGTATTCAGACTTCGAGCAGCTCTGGACTGAATTCACGCATAAAAAAAAAAAAAAAAAAGCTCCATAAAATCATAAATGTTTAACTGTGATCCCCACGCTGCACGTTTAAATGATGCAGGGTTTAAGTGAGTGTGAGACGACGACACGTGTTCATGTAAAGCGCTCGTAATTACTCAAACCATTTATTATTAAAAGGCCCATTTTCATTCACACTTATTTTATTATTCATCCTGTTTATGAGGCAGTTTGACCCTGAGACTCTGAAATCACCGCTTCAATTTTACCCAGATTGTTGCGTCATAGGCAGAAATTCAATCCAGTCCGACAAGAAACTCCACAGCTGATTTCTCATTTTTGTTTTTGTTCTTTATTCATCAAACTATGACCTTTCCAAAGTAAATTTTAACCAAAAAATAGATATAATATTTAAATAATATAGTAATAATCTGTCATAACCATAGACGTGGATTAAAGAAACACACACACGTTGATCTGGCCAAGATTTTAAAACTTCTATCAATCTTATTATTTTTGCTTTATATTATTTTTATTTTATTTTTTTTAAAGCTTATATTTTGCTTTATATTTATTTTTATTATTTTTTAAAGCTTATATTTTGCTTTATATTTTTAGTAAAAAAAAAAAAAAAAAAGAAATATAAAAAAATAAATAAATAAATAAATAATAAGGGGACTAAGTACAAAAAAAAAACTTCCAGCAGAAAAGTCTTTCGGTTTTCAGATTTATTATCGACTTACTCGTTCTGAGACGCTTCATTCTCGTCTAGAGGTCGTTTATTTTAAGAGAACTCATCGAGTAAAATGATCTTGCTGCATGGACAGATCATTTCACTACTTTTAAGTCATTTTCTGATAGATTGAAGTGTTTAAATCTTAAACTTTGGCCAAGCTTTTTTGCAGTGCAGCTCCAGTCAAATGAAGCTCATCGAGGCTTGCAGGGGTAAATATAGAGCAGAGTTTCGTGTTAGGAATATGAATTTATTTACCAAAAAACTAAATAAACTCAAGATCATGTAAAGTGGGTTAGATTTTAGAGAAGATTTTAAGACTAAATGAGGAGTCTGAAAGGAGAAGTTATGGGCAGAGCGGCGTCGGAAATGACATATTTCACCGTAACCCCGCCCACACAGCTGATGTTTTCCCTTGGTCCCATCCATGGACATGAAGAAAGAAGTGAACTCGGGCCCTGTCCACACTTGTTTGTATTGGAGTTGTTTTGGTTGTGGATGCAGTGTTCTTTCACACTAATCCGACTGAAAACGGCTCCAGAGACGGAACGATCCGGTGCCTCAAAGCTCCACGAATTCATGTCGGTCCAGATCTGATCCTTGACTCTGTGGACTCCTGAAAACACCGATGTAGGTCTGTGCACCGAGAAGTAATTCATCACCAAAACACTAAGAGGCGAGAATATCTGTCCATTCATATAAACGTGTGTCTGTGTGGACGACCTGCAGACGAATAATCTCATGAAGCATAATCCGTGTATCATTCGTTCATTCGTTTTTCAATATAAAACCAAAAATAAGAAAACGAAAAAACAACAGTTTTCTTCGTTATTTGTCTCCAAAACCAAAATAAAAAAACGGATAACGATTCGTTCTTTCAGTTTTCGATTTTGTGTTTAAATGAAGAATGGAAAAAACGGATAACGGCCGTTTCCCGTTTACGTGACTTCAGTGACTGTGATGCCGAACTTTTGCACCGGGTACGGACTGAACCAGGACTGATCCAGGTCCGAGACCAGACCGGGACCAGAGCGGGACTGAGACCGGGACCAGACCGGGACCAGAGCGGGACTGAGACCGGGACCAGACCGGGACCAGACCGGGACCAGACCGGGACTGAGACTGGAACCACACCGGGACCAGAGCAGGATCAGAGCGGAACTGAGACCGAGACCAGCGGTCCGAGCGGTTCCGTGTCATCGTCTGCGTGCGGGGAAAGTGAGAATGTTCTGTGGACTACAGGTCCGGACGAGCTGCTCCAGTCCTCCGCTCAAGAACCGCGGCTGGTTCCGAGGTGGTGCAAAGCATCAAACTGATGCTTTCACACCAACGAAAACGAACCGAACTAAGAGCTTTTGGTTCAAATGGACCAAGTCCGGGACCAGACCGGGACCAGAGCGCTACTGAGACTGGGACCAGACCCGGACCAGAGTGGGCCTGAGACAGAGACAAGACCGAGACAAGACCGAGACCAGATCGGAGGTTCAGAGCCCACGACAGAGCCGGAGCTCGAAGCTGAGGCTTGGACCCCGCGGAGGCTCAGAGTCAAAGCTTGGAGTCCGCCCTAGTCCTGCTCTAGTCCCGGTCTGGTCCCGCTCTAGTCCCGGTCTGGTCCCGCTCTAGTCCCGGTCTGGTCTCGGACCTGGATCAGTCCTGGTTCAGTCCGTACCCGGTGCAAAAGTTCGGTATCGCAGTCACTGAAGTCACGTAAACGGGAAACGGCCGTTATCCGTTTTTTCCATTCTTCATTTAAACACAAAATCGAAAACTGAAAGAACGAATCGTTATCCGTTTTTTTATTTTGGTTTTGGAGACAAATAACGAAGAAAACTGTTGTTGTTTCGTTTTCTTATTTTTGGTTTTATATTGAAAAACGAATGAACGAATGATACACGGATTAACCACCTCCAACACGACAGAAACACAGAACAGACTCACCATCAGCAGAACACCCCTCTGTCACAGAAACAACACTCACATTCCACTCAGTCACTGTGTCCTTTAGTCCGACAGAATCTGAACCACATCTGTTTGTTTGAGAGATTAGTTTATGCAAATTAGACATGTGGTTTTAAGTTTTGTTTCTGTAAAACGTAAATATGCTCAAAGCTGTGTGGATAGAGAACGCTTTGATTGTGGACACAGAAACAACGTGTCTGGACACATGATCGCTTCTGTTACGGTGATACAGTGATTAGTTTCAGTGTCAACGCAATCTAAGTAAGTGTGATGTCTTCGCAGAGTTCAGCTCCAGTAAAATGAAGCTCCTGTTGCTGCGGTTACAGGAGCGAATTTGGATCCAGGCTCCATATTTGGAAATCCGACTGTGAGTATCAAAACAATAAAAGAGCCAATCATGACTGAGATGGTTAATGTGCCCGCCGTTCTCACTGGCTGTCCATCAGTCCTGTTGCTAAAGGTAGCGGTGTGACCTTGAGGAATGAAAGCGTCTGATTGGTCCATTATTTATGTTCAGATCTTGATTTACGGACAAAATATCAAAATGAAAAATTCAGGATCCTATGTCGCGGGTTAATAAAAACATTTAAGACCAAAATGACGAGGCTCACAGCAGCAGGTCCAGAGAGAGGAGCCACGAGATCTCAATGGAAGTCACTGTAGCCAGAGTCAGAAGGAGCCGGAAGAGCCGCCTGGAGCACTTCCTGTTTGGAAGGCGGCGGCTAGCAGGTTAGCTATGTCCATGTAAAAATATATGGTCTATGGTCCTGCCCACACCAATGTCATGTTTACCTAAGCCCCGCCCACACTAATGTCATGTTTACCTAAGCCCCGCCCACACTAATGTCATGTTTACCTAAGCCCCGCCCACACTAATGTCATGTTTACCTAAGCCCCGCCCACACTAATGTCATGTTTACCTAAGCCCCGCCCACACTAATGTCATGTTTACCTAAGCCCCGCCCACACTAATCATGTTTACCTAAGCCCCGCCCACACTAATGTCATGTTTACCTAAGCCCCGCCCACACCAATGTCATGTTTACCTAAGCCCCGCCCACACCAATGTCATGTTTACCTAAGCTCCGCCCACACCAATGTCATGTTTACCTAAGCCCCTCCCACACCAATGTCATGTTTACCTAAGCCCCGCCCACACTAATGTCATGTTTACCGCCCACACCAATGTTTACCTAAGCCCCGCCCACACTAATGTCATGTTTACCTAAGCCCCGCCCACACCAATGTCATGTTTACCTAAGTCTCACCCACACTAATGTCACGTTTACCTTAGCCCCGCCCACACCGATGATGTCACGTTTACCTTCATCCCGCCCACACCGATGATGTCACGTTTACCTTCATCCCGCCCACCCTGATGATGTCATGTTTACTTTAGCCCCGCCCACCCTGATGATGTCACGTTTACTTTAGCCCCGCCCACCCTGATGATGTCACAGTTTACCTTGGTCCCACGCCACCCTGCCCACTGATGATGTCACGTTTACCTGGTCCCCCGCCCACCCTGATGATGTCACGTTTTACCTTGGTCCCGCCCACCCTGATGATGTCACGTTTACCTTGGTCCCGCCCACCCTGATGATGTCACGTTTACCTTGGTCCCGCCCACCCTGATGATGTCACGTTTACCTTCCCGCCCCACCTGATATGTCACGTTACCTTGGTCCCGCCACCTGATGATGTCACGTTTACCTTGGTCCCGCCCACGCTGATGATGTCACGTTTACCTTGGTCTCGCCCACGCTGATGATGGTCTTTACTTTACCTTGCCCGCCACCCTGATGATGTCACGTTTAGCCCGCCACGCTGATATGTCACGTTTACTTTAGCCCCGCCCACCCTGATGATGTCACGTTTACTTTAGCCCCGCTCACGCTGATGATGTCACGTTTACCTTGGTCCCGCCCACGCCTGATGATGTCACGTTTACCTTGGTCCCGCCCACGCTGATGATGTCACGTTTACCTTGGTCCCGCCCACCCTGATGATGTCACGTTTACCTTGGTCCCCGCCCACGCTGATGATGTCACGTTTACTTTAGCCCCGCCCACGCTGATGATGTCACGTTTACCTTGGTCCCGCCCACGCTGATGATGCGGTACACGTTCCTGCTGTTGTCGTAGAAGAAGGACACGGTGACGGCGTGCTTGCTCGCCGGCAGCCATTTCCTCTTGGTGCTCGGGTCGATCTGGAACACGTGCGCCCGGGCGCTGAAGATCGGCTGCTCCCTAAAACCAAAACACACACAAAACTGTTACTATGGCGACCGAGTGTGGAGCAGGTCTGTGGAAAAAAGGAATGATGTAAAGATATTTAGCGTTTGAGAGGCGCTAAGTCACTCCCCCTTCAGAGCATTATCACAACACAAACAGCGTGTGTCCCACTAACGAAACTCCTGCACCTCACATCAGGTTTGTCCAGGCTTGTGGGCGGAGCCTTGTACAGAATCGTACTGCTAACTGTAAAGAAGGCTCGAATAAGGCCCAGAGAGATCGCTAAATTACTCAAACATGCACGGATGACCAGTGTTGGGGAGGAACAGATTACATGTACCAGAGTTATGTAATCAGAGTACAAATGATGAGTAACTGTATTCAGTTACAGTTACTGTTTCAGTGAGTGGTAATTGGATTACAGTTACTTGGTTGAAATAAATGGATTAAACAGAGGGATTTTACTGTTTTCACATTTTGGACTAAACCAGGTCAAAAACCAAGACTAAAACCAGGACTAAACCAGGTCTAAATCCAGGTCTAAAACAGAATTTAACAGGACTAAACCAGGACTAAAACAGGAATTTAACAGGACTAAACCAGGACTAAAACAGAATTTAACAGGACTAAACCAGGTCTAAAACAGGATTTAACAGGACTAAACCAGGACTAAACAAGGACTAAACCAGGTCTAAAACAGGATTTAACAGGACTAAACCAGGACTAAACTAGGACTAAACCAGGTCTAAAACAGGATTTAACAGGACTAAACCAGGTCTAAATCCAGGTCTAAAACCAGGACTAAACCAGTTCTAAATCCAGGTCTAAACCAGGACTAAACCAGGTCTAAACCAAGATTTAACAGGACTAAATCCTGCCGTGTGGACCTCTTCCTCCTTTTCTATCAATAATATTTTTAATTTGGTTCAGTAAAGTCTGGACTTTTTATTTTCTTTTATCAGACAAAACTTCTTATGTGAAGATTTCCTCGTCTTTGCTTCTCTACAGCAAATCAAGTAATCCAAAGTAATCAGATTACATTACCCACTTTAAGTAATTTAATGGATTATGTTACAAACTAGTACATTACTACATTAAACCTCTTCAAAAGGCTTATTTTAGAAGATACCTCGTCTTTAATATGAGGAAATATCACTTGACATTTGTACATTATTCCTAATTTATAAGGAAATGTTAAGTACGCACTCGAATCATTCTGAAAGTTTCCTAAAAATTAGCATCAGCAACTTTTCCAGTGATGTAATTAGCCGCCTCGTTAGTGTTGATTTGTTTTTGACTCTGATGCAGATGAAGGTGAAGTGTTGCGTGCCTGATTTTGTGTGCCTCAGGTGGTCGAGTCGTCGGCGAGCAGAGACGAGCCGCGTGATCCAGCAGGATTCACTCACAAGTCAAACAAAACTCATTTTTAAACGTGATTTTTAACTCCAAACAACTTCGCGGGAATTATTTGGATCATTTCAGACCTGGAATTGCTGATTTCTACTGAACGAACGAGAAAAAGAGACGTTCATTTGAAAACTAGAGCTTCGTGACTTAAAGTGGAACAGAGCGTTTTGAGCGCTGCAGATGTAGACACTGGTGTTGTAGCTGAGACCGAGACCAGTCCAAGACCACAGGGTCCCGAGACCAGGACAAAACCAAGACCAAGACTGAGACCAAGGCAAGACCAAGACTTTAAAAGGCCAAGACTGAGACAAAACCGAGACTTTTAAAGATGAAGACCGAGAAAAAAAAACAAGACTTTTGAGTGTCAAGACTGAGACAAAACTGAGACTTTTGAGAGTCAAGACCAAGACAGGACCTAGATTTTTAAAGGTCAAGACCAAGACAAAACCAAGACTTTTGAGAGTCGAGACCGAGACAAGACCGAGACCTTTAAAGGTCGAGACTGAGACAAAACCGAGACTTTTGAGAATCAAGACCAAGACAGGACCGAGATTTTTAAAGGTCAAGACTGAGTCAAAACCAAGACTTTTGAGAGTCGAGACCGAGACAAGACCCAGTCTTGAGAGTCAAGACTGAGATAAGACCAAGACTTTAAAAGGTCAAGACTGAGACAAGACCTAGATTTTTGAGAGTCAAGACTGAGACTTTTAAAGGTTGAGACTAAGGCGAGACTGAGACTTTTGAGAGTCAAGACTGAGATAAGACCAAGACTTTAAAAGGTCGAAACTGAGACAAAATCAAGATTTTTGAAAGTCGAGACCAAGACAGGACCAAGACTTTTGAGAGTCGAGTCTGAGACAAGACCACAACTTTTGACTGAGACAAAACCAAGACTTTTGAGAGTCAAGACCGAGTCAAGACCGAGACAAGACCGAGACCTTTAAAGGTCGAGACTGAGACAAAACCGAGACTTTTGACTGAGACAAAACCAAGACTTTTGAGAATCAAGACCGAGACAGGACCCAGACTTGAGAGTCAAGACTGAGATAAGACCAAGACTTTAAAAGGTCGAAACTGAGACAAAATCAAGACTTTTGAAAGTCGAGACCAAGACAGGACCAAGACTTTTGAGAGTCGAGTCTGAGACAAGACCACAACTTTTGACTGAGACAAAACCAAGACTTTTGAGAGTCAAGACTGAGACAGGACCGAGATTTTAAAGGTTGAGACCAAGACAAAACCAAGACTTTTGAGAGTCGAGACCGAGACAAGACCGAGACCTTTAAAGGTCAAGACCGAGAGAAAACCAAGACTTTTGAGAGTCAAGACCGAGACTTTTAAAGGTTGAGACTAAGGCGAGACTGAGACTTTTGAGAGTCGAGACTGAGACAAGACCGAGACTTTTAAAGGTCGAGACCGAGAGAAAACCAAGACTTTTGAGAGTCGAGACCGAGACAAAACCGAGACTTTTTACTGAGATAAAACCAAGACTTTTTAAGGTCGAGACTGAGACAAAACCGAGACTTTTGAGAGTCAAGATCAAGACAGGACCGAGATTTTTAAAGGTCGAGACTGAGACAAAACCAAGACTTTTAAGAGTTGAGTCTGAACCAAATCCAAGAGTTTTGAGAGACAAGACCGAGACTTTTAAAGGTTGAGACTGGGAAAAAATGAGGCTTTTAAAGGTCAAGACTTAGACGAAACGAAGACTTTTGAGAGTCGAGACTGAACCAAAACCAAGACTTTTGACAGTCGAGACCCAGACAAAACCAAGACTTTTAAAGGTCAAGACTGAGACAAAAACAAAGACTTTTGAGAGTCAAGACCAAGACAGGACTGAGACTTTTAAACAGAGCATTTTGAGCTTTGGAGATGTAGACAGGGTAAATACCGTCACACACTACAGGAGAATTTGCCTGATTTTGGCAGAGATTTACTTCTTCCCGAGTTCGAGGTTTTTATCTACAGACAAAACAGTGAAATAAAAACCCCAGGATCATGTAGAGCGGGTTAATACTAACATTTTAAGACCAAAATGACGAGACTCACAGCAGAAGTTACAGAGAGAGGGGTGACAATTTTTCAATGTAAAATCAATTGGACCAGAGTCGATGGAGCCAGAAGTGTCCCCGTGCACACTTCCTTGTCTGGAACACGGCACTAGCATGTTAAATCCACCGTCTACGGTCTAAATAAACAAAAGTGAAACCATTTTTTCACAGCAGCTGCGGAAACTGGTGCCGTGAATCAGAAACTGCGCACTTTTTGACAGTTCAAGAAAGAACTTTAAGACAGATTTTGAAGATTTACGGCGCTGTACCTGATTTTTACCGTCTTAAAAACATTATTCACAGCGATGGGATTATAACAGCTTTTCACAACAACAACCAGAACGTGCACATCCTGATTATCAAACAATAAAATGCTTCATAATTACAACAAGTAGGACAGTACACAGGAGACTTATTTTGAACTCAAGAGCTGATTTTACAATATCTCTGCACCGGGACAAGAGAAATAATCAGGTAAAGGTAATTTAATACAGGATTATTTCACACAAATAATGAGAAGATTCAACATTTGTAGAGTTTCTTTTTCATTATGTTTCAGAGCAAAACACTTAATTCCTAATGAAAATGATTATTCGGTGGGTGTTTAAGTGTTTGGTTTATTCTGATTTTAAAACTGAATTCATTTCTTCGTGGATCATGTTTCACGTTTATTACCTCCACCAAAGAGGTTATGTTTTTGTCGGCGTTTGTTTGTCTGTTTGTTTGTCTGTTTGTTGTCTGTCTGTCTGTTTGTGTCTGTCTGTCTGTTTGTTTGTCTGTTTGTTTGTCTGTTTGTCTGTTTGTCTGTCTGTCTGTTTGTCTGTCTGTTTGTCTGTTTTGTTTGTTTTGTCTGTTTGTTGTTTGTCTGTTTGTTTGTCTGTCTGTCTGTCTGTCTGTGTCTGTTTTTTGTTGTTTGTTGTGTCTGTTTGTCTGTCTGTTTGTTGTCTGTTTGTTGTGTCTGTCTGTTTGTCTGTCTGTTTTGTTTGTCTGTTTGTCTGTTTGTTTTGTCTGTTTGTCTGTCTGTCTGTTTGTTTGTCTGTCTGTTTGTTTGTTTGTCTGTTTGTCTGTCTGTCTGTCTGTTTGTTTGTCTGTTTGTCTGTTTGTCTGTTTGTTTGTCTGTTGTCGTCTGTTTGTTTGTCTGTTTGTCTGTCTGTCTGTTTGTTTGTCTGTTTGTCTGTCTGTCTGTTGTGTCTGTTTGTCTGTCTGTGTTGTTTGTCTGTTGTTTGTCTGTCTGTTTGTTCTGTTTTTTGTCTGTGTCTGTCTGTCTGTCTGTTGTCTGTGTCTGTCTGTTTGTTTGTTTGTCTGTTTGTCTGTTTGTCTGTTTGTCTGTTTGTTTGTCTGTCTGTTTGTTTGTCTGTCTGTCTGTTTGTTTGTCTGTTTGTCTGTTGTTTGTCTGTTTGTCTGTTTGTTTGTCTGTTTCTGTCTGTCTGTCTGTCTGTCTGTCTGTTTGTCTGTTTGTTTGTCTGTTTGTCTGTTTGTTTGTCTGTTTGTCTGTTTGTTTGTTTGTTTGTCTGTCTGTTTCTGTCTGTTTGTCTGTCTGTCTGTCTGTTTGTCTGT